GTAAACACCTATTTCGGCTACATTAACACGAAGGTAAACCCAGCAGACTGCGCCACACGAGGTCTTACAGCCGAGGAATTGCAAAATCATATATGGTGGGATGGCCCTCCGACCTTGCTCACGGACGAAAATGCTATTTACGAAGGGCTAGAACGATTCCAATTGCCCCCTGATCCTGCTGAAGTATTGCAGATCTCGAATGCGAGCCACCCACTCATACATGTGGAACGATTTAGCTCGCTTCGAAGACTGAAAAGAACCGTAGCGTACGTTGGCATATTCCTGAACAAATTGGCGAAGAACTTACCAGAGGAATCGAAGCAGAAAATTAGAAGAGCCAGTGGAATTCAGGAAGCTACGGATAAACTCCAAGGAGCAGATCTTATGCAAGCAGAAAGGACTATTATTAAGCTCCACCAGAAAGAACACGAAGCTCTGATAACAGCCAACGAACAACGAAAACTCAACATTACCAGAGACGATAAAGGTATCTGGAGATGCTTCGGAAGATTAGGCAATAGCTGCCTGCAAGAAGACGCCAAAAACCCCATTTTCATCGCGCCGAACACGCATTTAGCGAAGCTTATAATCAGAGAAGCGCACGGTAAGCTCCACTGTGGAGTCGGGTTAACCATGGCGGAGGTCCGAAAGAAATACTGGATACCGAAGTTGAGACAACAGACGAAGAAGGAGATCCAGAGATGCGTACCGTGTCAGAAATTCAACAATTTACCTTTCCGGTACCCACCTTTAGCGGATCTACCCACTAGAAGAGTAGTCAGGTCACGACCCTTTCAAAACATTGGTCTAGACCTGTTCGGACCCATGAAGATACGAAGCAACGAAAACATTGTCTCGAAAGCGTACGGATGCATATTCACATGTGCAACAACCCGACTAATGCACATTGAGCTCATCCGAGATAACTCGGCGACGGCGTTCATAAACGCCCTACGTCGATTTATGTCACGTCGAGGAGTCCCGGACTCGATCACCTGCGACAACGCCACGAATTTCGCATTAGCAGAGCGAATAACCACGGATTGTCTAAAAAACGACGAAGTGGATCAAGTCATGGCGAATGCGCACATAACATGGAAGAAGATCACGCCATATGCTCCGTGGCAAGGAGGGTTTTACGAGCGTCTTATAAAAGACGTCAAACAGTCACTCCACAAAACCCTTAGCAGGAAAATCGTCGACGAAGATGCCCTCAGGACGGTACTGGTAGAGATTGAAGGCACCTTGAATAACAGACCGTTGACGTATCAGGAGGAAAACCCGGACGAAATTGTCCCTATAAGGCCCATAGACTTTGTACAGAATAGGCTACTCATCACGTATTCAGTCGAAAACGATGACCTTAGCGATAGGGAAGATCCCAACTTTCTACCTCCTGAAGAAGCCGCCCAGCTCAGGACCCAATACGAAGCAAAGTCAGCCCTACACGCCTCGCAAGCGCTGACGGACGGGTTTTGGAAGCTGTGGAAAGACAGCTATTTGACGTCATTAAGGGAGCAGCATCGCAAACATCTACATCAAGGTCGTAGTTCCCCGAAGCTTCCCCGGGTTGGACAAGTAGTACTCATACAGGATCCATTTTTATCGAGAAACGCGTGGAAAATGGGGTTAATAACGAATTTAGGGACGGAGAATCCAAATCAAATACGCCAAGTCGAGCTCAGAATGCCAAACGGAAAAATGACGAAGAGGCCAGTAAACAGTCTCATACCACTTGAGTTACTGGATTCGGATCCCGGTCACGAACAACTATCAACTCACGAACACCCGAGCGCACCCACCCAACCCGAACTTCCAAGCGAACCTTCACCCGAAACCCCAAGGCGTCCAAAACGAAGCCCCTCTAGATACTACCCGTACAGCCTCGAAGAGTACGAAATCAATTCGATTACCACAGACGAAAAATCAATTACACAGCCAAATACGTATATTTTCAGAATGCAGGAACAAGGACAAGGTTACGAATCCCTCGACTCCTTTCTTCAGACTCTGAATCAACGCCGGTCGATGTTCAATGAGAAAGAACTACAGAGACGCTTGGACATCGTGTACGAAGAAACTACTAAGCTTATGGCACAAGGACAGCAAATAGTCACGAAGGCTACAGACCTGAAGAACGAAGCCGCCAATTACGAACCAGTTCCGGAAAAGTCAAAGCCACTTTACGACAGGAAGAACGAGCTACTTGCATCCATTCATCTTCTCAAACAGCGATGGGAACACGTTCACGTAGTCTCTATACTTCTCTGGGACGCATACGACATGTTAGTTCACCTGAATCCACCAACATTCTTCAATAGGGTAGCGTTCGAACAACGACCAAGGCCAAGAGGACACTATACCAAGGATGACAGCATAACCACCATTCGCGAAGAGCAGCATCAGCTCAACGGCCTCCAAGCACAGCTTGAAATACTTACAATCGACCCTTTCCTCAATCCGTATATTGATAGCGACGAAAAGAAACCATACATCAGTGAAGTCTCCGATGCCGACATTCACGCCAAGCTGGACAATATCGAAAAGCTGATCCAAAAACGGATTGATGACACATCTATCACTAAAAGATCACCGGACACGGAATCAATGCTCAGGAAGCTACATCGAATCGAAACCATCCTTATCGAAGACAAAGCAAGACGCACCGAGGATACATTGTCTCAGCAACTAGTTCAGCTGACGGAGCTACTTCAACAGACGTCCACGAATTTGGAAAATAAGATAAGCAACAACACCGAACTTATCGTGAACTCCATCATCAATTTACTGACCCAGGTTTCGGAACTCCTACGCACAGGCCACCAGCCCAAGTCACCCGACCGTCACCGTCATAATAGCAGTTCACCAGTCGCCAGAAGGCAGACGCCTCGAAGAAGCCGCTCGAGACAACCCGCCAAAAGACCACCTCGAGACCCCGAATTGGCTCTTCTGCATCGTAAACTCGATCACCTAGCACAATGTGAGAAGAGATTGTACGGATTGGACGCTCCGCAGCCATCGACACCCCACAAATGTACCTTCTGCTTCGCTATACATAACGAAGATGCCTGTGTCGCCTTCAAAACAGTCGAAGAAAGAAGAGCCGTCGTACGGAGCCGCAACCTCTGCATCCATTGCCTCGGCAACTCCTGCGTGAAACCCTGCCCGGACCGAATCGCATGTAATTACTGTAAAAGCAAGTCCCATCACTACACCTTATGCCCACTTCCAGAAGAACGTAGCGCCCTCGAAGAGCAAATCGCCATGTACCATCACTAAAAGGCCCCCCCGGAGTGTGCTGAGGCCGGATTGATCCCCGGCCTCAGCACTCCGTTTTGATCTTTTGCGCGCCAAAGTGGGGTATTTCAGGGCGCCGGCGTCACACGAAGGGACAAATCAATGATAGCTATTGGTCGGATCTTTTGTATCTCATTTGTATGTCGGTTCTTTACTTTTGCCATACTTTTATCTGTTAGCCGGTTTAGTTGTTCTTGTTTTGATTTGCCTTCCTATACGTGTTACTCTTTTGCCTCATTTTCGATACTCCGATTTTGATCCTCATATCCGAAGCTCATGATTCTCATTATATTCACTTAGTAGTTTTGTTTCGCGTGTGTTTTGTTAATTTTGTATTGAATAAAGGGTTTAATTACCCAAGTTTGAGGTGTGTCCACGGCGGTTGCGATCCGCGACTATTTCAAGCCGATCTGTTATTCCTAGTTCTGCTATTCGTTCACTGTTCATTCAGCGTTTTCGCCCCAAGCTCAAAAGGACCCGCGTGGCAACATAGCGCTCGAACATCCGAAGCCCCAGTTCCACGAAGCCGGTGAAAGGTGGGATTTCAGTAATCCTTTCACTTTTCCTTTCTCTTTTTTTCCGAGTTTTTTTGGTCAATTTTGAGTACGGGGTCCCCCTCGCTCTCCCCCCTTAGTACCCGGGACCCAGCTCAACAACAAATGGCAAATGGGCAACCCTGATGACGATAATGGTAGCAGCAGCACTCTTCTGCTCTCAAACGAAACAGTGGTAAAACAAATGGTACATGGGCAGCACTTTGATGACGATAATGGTAACAACACCCTCTTGCACTCAAACGAATCAGTGATGAAGCAAATGGTAATGGGCACTTCGACGACGACAATGGTATTCCTCTGCCAAGCTATGAAAGCTCGGGACGAGCTTTACTATGGAATGGACATGTCGAGACGCAGACTAAGAGATGGTCCGACAGTCCTCACCCCAACTGGGCGGTGCCCAGCAACTCCAGATGAGCTGTGCCTAACCGGGTGACCGGCGGCTTCCCTTCCCCTCTTTTACCTTACATATATATAATAAAGATTCTAGTCATAAATGTTATGTTCATACAAAGTAAGACAATCAGGGTGAAGGATTCAAGTCAGGAGAGTGCACCTCCTGGACTTGACAAACCTGTTGGTGCCACTATAGCTAGGAGCTAACAACACGTCGCTTCAACGTTTATCGTGAGACTGGCGAAGTTTACGACAGAAAAGCCGCATTGACTCTTCCCAGACCCGCCCGCTTTACACGGTGATTTACGGATAGGTCGGTTCGGCCACAATACGTAGTAGATGGCCGAACACCGCCAATATTTTACAGTCCCAGATTTTTCCATTGCTTGCGGGAGTGCACGCTCGCAAATGTGGTTTGAAACTAGCGGGTTGTGACGATAACGACACATGTATTTTTTAATCAGTTGAATACCCTCACCCAGTCGCACGAGCTCAGCTGAGACATAACATTCGGAGCGCATTCTCTGTTCTGCTGCGCGTCAATTTTGCGTCACTGTGAACAACACATTCGTGCATTTGCACGTCAAATAATGATAGACGCGCAAAAAACCAGCTGACAGCAAAAATCTACCTTGCTATGTCGAAGCGGAAGTGTTTTGCCTGAACAATCATTCCACTGTGCAGACGCATAATTCGAATGTCCACGTGTCTTCCTCTCTTGAATACAAGCTCGGTATCTCATGATTTCAGCAGGGTAATGGAGAAAGAAAGTGAGGAGGATGAGGTGTTCGAAATCGACGATTTCACCGTTATAACGGAATTCGAGCGCTTTGGCGTGGCTATTGAAGCTCTGATTCAAGAATGGGGTCTAATCGGCACAAGACCTCGGAAAAAATACCGAAAAGTGAGTAGAATTCCATTCTTATAATTGAATTAAACTTATGATTTTAGGGTGTGCTACGGACTTGTTCTTGGCTGTCGAAAACATCAGTCGTTAGTTTTGGTGAAACTAACAAACTGAAGGTTGCATACTATTATCCTGATTTGGTAAGCGTCATTTTTGCTCAGTAATTGCTTCTTTTTCTTGGCGATTCTACTCAATTGCTTGTAAGACAGTGCATGTTTTAGCCAAGTGATGCTGCTGAAGAGCTACCTTGTGGCGAAAATGACCCACATATCGCATCGTTTGGCTATGATATGACCAATATGGAAACAGATTTTGTGCACAACAGCAACATCACAACTATGGTAATGTTTACTTTGTGTCGCATCATTTCATCTTTTTGTTTTTTACTTGATGTTTCTTCACTGCATCCAATATAAATTTCCATCTTTTACTTCCCCAACTGTTTTTTTTTCAAATTTATCGTTATCATCTATATGTGCGCACGGGAAAGATACTCTTTTCCTGTGTATTACTTAAAGGAAATCTGAACTTTTACTTGTTGGTTGATTTTGCGTGGAACTAGTAAAATGGTGCAAACAGCAGGTAACAGCAAGCGTCTTCACTCGCAGAAGTCTTTCAATTGCTTCTATGAAGTTCTGCTAAAGATTATCACTGCGTTCGAAATATTGGCTTCAGAAGCTGTTTCCTTTCAACGGTTTTTAGTTTATTGTACTATTACAGTATGGTGTCTCCGAGTACATACTCGTTTCGCCGGACGATCAAGTGGACGATGCGATCATGACGGAAGATCAGAAAAATCTAGTTATTAGTGCATTTCGAGTTGCGCAGCACAGCGTTGATTGGTGTGTTATATCAGCATTCAATCCCATTTTATCGGGAACTTTCTTCTTTTCGAAGTTGGCTGAAGCTGCGTTTTTTTTTCATATTTTTGCTCTTCTAGTGAGGTTCCGATGTTTATTCAATTTGGTCATCTTGATAGGCAACTTTTCTTTGGCACAGCTTGCAATAAATCGGTGGTCACGCATTTTGGAGTGAGTCCTTTCTCTCAGTTTTTATCTTTAAAAGAGTTCTTCTATTCCAGGGATCTCATCTTCGTCGAGCTCAGTTACGGCATCACCATCTCAGTGGTTTGTTAGAACTGTTTAGGGAGCACGTCGTGAGTTCTTACTACTTTGCAACTTTTGGACTCTATTGACGTAATTTAGAAATGTCCAATTTCACTGCTTGATGCGGACGATATTCGCGTATCTGTACAGTTCGATTACAATGTGAAAGTGGGTACTTCTGCCAAGCGGGGAACTGGCACTCGGGCAAAAGGAGCCACAGCAGTAATTATTTATTCCATACATATTGCCATATAGTCCTTGTTTCTTTCCCATGGTGTTTGGGCGAACGTTATAGGATGGAATAGTGACTCCACTTTCTGCCCATCGTGCTAATTCCTCTTTCTTCTTAATCGATGCAGTTTCTTAATTTGTTGTCTTAGATTACTACGTCGCCCCAATATATCGATGATGCTTGTGAAATTCTTGAATGTTATACTTTACCATTCGGTAGCAAGAGTGAGCCTTTGAGGTAGGGGTTTCTCTTCAAAAATAAGTGCTTTCTGTATGAGTATAAATTTTAGTGAGTTCAATCTCATTGCATCCTGGCCTAATATGAAGGAGGAAATGATCAATGAAAATGAGGTAGGACATTATTGATCTTTTTGCTTAATCAACTATTCATCAGTTTCCAGTATCACAGTGATCTCGATTTGCTGAGTGCATTCAACTGGGCTGGATCAGTCTACTTCCAGTTCACGGAGACATTACTTAGTGAGTTGTTGTAGTATGAAAGACACAAGACTTCGCGTATTTTCGCTAGTTCATGAAGTGCAGGTTTTCTATTGAAAAACTTTTGAGAATCAGTATAAGTGCCCAGTGACCCCATGTACAAAATAGAGGCTTTTTTACAACGCTTGACCTCGAAATAAACGTTAATGGGATCGTTCAGATTATGCACTCAAGCGATTACTTGGACTTCCACTGTTGAAAGATGCCAGTGAGACGTCATTCACGCTTCTGGGCTTGAAAACAGCACCAAGTATGTTAAATCTTCAAAATGTGTTTATCAGGTTCCTGCCAATCGAACTTATTGTGATTTGGCATGCGTATATCTCAAGTTTTTTAAGAGGCATTTGGACAACTCACCGATGGTGGGATCGAAAATATACGGTTTGCTGGAGCACCGAACGTATCAATCACAAATCCTGGTGCCCTTCCTCTTGATGAAGTGCCCATGCCCATTGCTAAGGTAGTTGTACTGGTAAAGTCTATACAAAGCCTATACCGCTCATTCTAGTCCGTTATGAAACGATGTATGGATAAAATCTTCGATGTGGAAAACAACGAAGAAGAACCTAATACGGAAATAACTCCCAGTCAACCCTTGCTTACCACTCCTGGAGGTGCAGTACGAAGTAGCCCGGTAGGTTTCTTTCTACTGCTGCGACGTTCAAGGAGTTTGTAATCTTAGAGTTTTTACTTAAGGCACCTGCGCTTCAAAATGTACAGTCGCGAAAAGATCTTTCAAAGTTCGTTGAAACTATTCAAAGCAGCAGTTCAAAACTAAATGTGGGTTCAAAGTAACAAGAGTTACCGGCATGCCAACGTTGTTATGTTGAACATACGGACAGAATTTAATGCAAAATCCGTGTTCTGTTCGAAAGTGTTTGTTTTGATTCAGTTGATGATGCATGGTGAGATTATAACATACGTTTTGCACCCTTGTCCCATAGTCTTACTGTTTTTCGGCTCTATACTCTGATATTCACTGCCAGCAACAGTTCTTTATCACTTTTGGAACCCCGCACTTTCTTGTAAACTGTAAAGATCTAGATTTTTATGAAACTTGTCGTTCGCATCTGTGATTAATTCTATTTTCACTATTCTAACACTGCGCGTATGTAAACGATGGATTTCGGTGCAAGTTTTCACCCCAAAAACTGGACTAGCGAAGCTCAGCATATACTTCATATCATGTGAACATGCCAATATTTGTCGAATATTTACATTAAATTAAACTTATACTTATTGTATTTGACCATCGTCCTAACTCTCCATAATTTTCTATGATAGATATTCTCCTATACTGCGATCTCTAGGGTAAACTCCGACAGATCAAATGGACTCCACCGGATTCTATAACGCGACGATTTGCAATGGCTTTCACCAATGCATCTCTTGATTACATCTATGGTCCATATGCATTTGCACAAGTTTGGTACAAGTTCGTGAAAAGGCTTCGGACATACTATGACAATACTAAAAACTTGCCAGGGTAAGATGCCTTTCCCTTACCGATTATGCACCATTACTAAAATATTTCTCAATTTTAGAATGAGCGAAATTACCCAGCCCAATCTCTCTCATTGCCTCCTACATCAAAAACTGGAGATGCTTCAATGTTGCATTTCCGCAAAACGAAAACGTCATGAGCTCTATGACAACACGAAAGATTTCGGTGGAGGTGAGTGCTACGAATTCTTTTATACAGCAATCATTTTCAACCTATTCAGTCTGTCAGTTTGCTATATTAATTTGAAGCTACCGTTACTTTGTATTTGCATACTCTAAAATACTGAAGGCAGTGGTTTGGGCACTGTCCAACAAGAATGGAGTTTCATTTGAGAACAATCCCTTATTTGGCCCACATGGTACATACGAATACCTTTCGAACTAAGCAGAAATTTGCATTGTCAAAGTCACAGAAAAAGCAGGTGTTGGATAAACTGCGTCTAATACGGCTGGCGAGATTTGGTTCTCTGCTGAAACCAGCTACACTGTCCTGTATTGTTCTGTTGTCATCGCGCATTGATATATGGACATACCGTTCAATAATTATCCGTAATCGCCATTTTTGATCAAAATCTGGTGAAAAGTCGATTTAGTATCCTTAGATGAGTTCTACGATGCACAGTCTGATCAATCTGAAGATTCCAATTTTGGAAACGAAAGTGAGAAGACGGAAACTGCTAATGACAGCACATCTGACGACAACGCCAAGAGTGCTAAGAGTATAGAGGTATGCCGTTGTTTACAGTATCTGTATGATTATTTAACTTTTCAGGATATAGAGCCGGCTGGTCGCTTGCATCCATTTGGTGAATTGCGGTTATTGCACCATCCCGATACGCTACTCTATGTTCCCATTACTCAGGTTAATCTCGATCAGTACATATCGTCACCTAGTGGTCCTGTGGTAACCAGAATCTTCTTATAGGATCGCAGTCCTATGACCGAAGACATGCTTGATGAATACACGCGGTACCTCTCATCGCTGGACGATGGAGATTCTAGGACTCGAGCTCAGCTTGATGTACTTTGCAGCGATATGCAAGCCTTCAAGGTACGTCTCATCCAAAGCTTTCATCATCTGTGAATTTTTCAAGAAGTTTTTAGGCAGCGAATCCAAAGTGCTGCTTGGAGGATTTCATAAGATGGCATTCTCCCAAAGACTGGAGTGAGGAAGAAGGTAATTCTACTCCGCTATGTACGCGTGGCAGACTGAAGAGGAGGGGAGGGGGGCGCTTTTTTTTGGGAGTTGTATCAGAATGTAAAGTATTTTATTTGAAGAGGAGGGAAGGGGGGCGCTTTTTTTGGAAGTTGCATCAGAATGTAAAGTATTTTATTTTTACTTGCAAATAATGCGAAAATTTTTAAAATTTTTTCATTACGTTAACCTGAAAATTTTTTTCGTGGGTGCGGCTGTTGGTGTGGCCACGCTGTTTTTACCAAAATTTGGGATGATAAGGAAATTTCAGACGCAAACTTTTTGAAAAGTTTCCCAGAGAGGTTTCCGAAGCGGGGCTCGGCACGAGCCCCGCTTCGGAAACTGGAGGTGGCTAGTTGAAAGTGCAAAAAAAGTCCCTCCTTGATTTTTGCGAATTTTTCAAAAAATTCTTCGATCAAAAAACGTCGCAAATTTTGTGTTTTTGGCCACAAAAACGAAACCCCCTTTGCTTTTTGTCCCAAAAACGATATTCAGCTTTCTTATAAGCCACCTGCCGAGCCCTGTTTCGCAGTGCGGACAACGTCTCGCGCGTTCTTTCAAGAATTTTTTGTCCTTTCGAGACGGAATTCTTGGGACTTCCACTGCTATGCATGTATTATTTGCCTTCAAATTATTACATTGCAGAATGTTTATCGGAACGAATGCAACTTCCCGATAATACATGGGTGAAATGCTGGAATGAAGCAATGCCCATACCTGTAATTAATCAAGCGCGACTCTTTAATGAGTCGAAAATCGCCGAAGAGGTATATGACGTTTTTCTAACCTTGCATTGAGATGCAACGAAGGTCCGGTGTTTCTGCCTCACTCATCTTTAATGTGGCGGAGCTTTTCTCTCTATACTTATCCCAGTCCCTTGTATCGGATGTTGTGTGTGTTTGGCGCTGCACTTCACATTTTCACAAATTTTCATGTTTAGATTCTGTCATTGCTGGAGAATGCCACTGTTCAGCAAATGGTAGAATTTCTACGACCTGTCATCTTCACTACTGCTGTCGAGCAGATTATCGAGAAAAGTGAGTTTCCTCCTCACTTTGCGGCTCCTGAAAATTTCTTGTTTAGCGAAATGCGTACAGAGCCTTGTAGATGAGGAGCTTCTGGCTAATGCTGTTCATCGTGCTAATAGGAGTGGCCTCAGGTGATAAAATAATTCCTGCAGTAGCTAGTCACGTCTTTGTATCGCTCACTTTACAGAGATGATTATGTCGAGGCTTTGAAGTTGATCAAATCAACAGAACTTCTCTTTGTGCAATATTCTAGTCTACTGAATAAACTGACCATTGGAGAAGTATGGTTGTTTTTCCTTTTATTTATAAATCCTTGAAAAAGTTGATGATTTGCAGAGTGATGATCCTGCTATAGTATCACCTAATCCGGAGGAGTTATATAATTTTATCATAGCTCTTATAGAAGATGCTTCATCTCGAAGGTGACTGGACTGATGACTGCATATGTGAACGTGTCAAAAAAAAATTTTTTTTTCAGAGATGACGACCGAATTGTCATATCTCGTGGTATTCCTATTTTTGGTAAGATAATTTTTTGACAGTCAGGTCTGAAACATTCGGGGTAATTCTAGGTGCCGCCAATGGTACGCTTGGTAGTGCTGTGCGAAGAATGTTGGAACGGCAAGACGTCAAAAGTGGTCTTTTGCCTCCGCCGTCGAGGTGATTATATAAATTGATTTTCATTAGAAATTATGAGGGTTCACTCTTCATCCGCCATATACAACTTTAGCTGCCTACGTGCAAAGACATTGACCGTTGGGGTCCGAGTTTTTTGGCTTCCTCCCTCATCTTTTTGATGTTATCCCAGTGAGGGTTTCTTTTCGGACAGGGGGGGGGAGGAGGGTGAGGGGCACAAAAATTTTTGTTGAAGAAAGGTATACATACTTTTGGGAGTTCATACTTGTAAGCCTAAGCCCCCTCAAACCCCTAACCCTTATCAAATGAGTATTAGTAGTTAATGCCACTGTCCATCCGGCTGAAAATGAAACATCAATAACGAAGTCACTAATTATATCAATGACAATAATCAATAACATATAGAGTTTTCAGACAATGCGATGAAATTTCGACAACTCTCATTACAAAAATGTTTTCAGGAAGCAATACACGATCAGATGGAGTGTTCCGCGGCCAACAGCTAACAGCAGAGTTGTTCCGCAACGGCTATTCGCTTCTATCGAGCAAGATGAATTCCGACTCTGTGGTGCTTTTACTGAAGATACTGTATATACTTAGAAACTACCAGACAAAGTCAATAATAATCTCACATCAAATGGCATGAGGGTTTGCGGGATTTTGTTGCTAATAAGGACTATCTGAATTTATGTGCAAGATTCGAATGTTTTTTCTTCTATTGAGAGCCATATCCGTTTCGTACTTACAAAGTCAATAAAAATGTAAAGGTTGTTACAAGCGTTTCTTATGGTTATCGGACTTCTCACAGTTCTTGTTATTTTGATCACAAGGTTGTCTGTGCATCACAGTTTTAAATGCAGCAGTGCTTCTCCTGTCCATCTTTCTAGCCAATCAACGGCATTTGACCATCGCAAACATGTGATTTCATAGTCACAATGCTCAAGCTATGCCGATATGGAACATGTGCACCTTTGAGAAAAAGCAGTTATAGCGAGCACACTTAAAGTTGATTTGCTACGACTATTCACGCCTACTTTCAACTCTTCTAAATGGCTTATACAGGGTGTCCCATGGAGATGTTCCTACTGTGTGGTTGTTAACAGTTCTCTCATAATGAAGGCTTTCGAGAAGCTTCAGTAACTTTCTATAGAGCTGGTTTCACTTAGCTTTGCAGTATGGTGCGAATCACAAATCCCTCTTCATTATTGTGGAATTACGTAGGGACTTTGAGGTGGGTCTGAGTAAGAGGGTCATATTTCACCCTTGAAATAGAATCAAACAAGCTGATAGCTCCTGCACTAGGTCAATCCGAGTCCCTGATTTCAAACATGAAACTCGCATTTCACCGTAACGCATTTTTCGTAAGTCATGCCAAATATAACTACAACCAATTTTTGCTAACTCAATAATGTGATTAGGCCATTCAAAAAGTTGTAAGAAAGCGCAAAAACTACCGAAATGAGCATGGATGAAAACCTTGTTACACAATTTTTCAGATTTTTTCTTTTGAAATTTTTTTCTTAATGGCCTTTTGTGGAAACTCTTCGACCATGTTGGGATTCGTAATGCAATGATATAAGGTAAACAAAAGATTAATGGTGGTTCAGTCTTTTATTGGATACTGTAGACGAGAACGTGATAAATGTGACCTTGTGTCAAAGTGATCGAGAGTCGTGTGACCTCAGAGCGAGCCCACTTGACAGACACGGCCCGCCCCCTCAGCGTGACGTCACATGGCATGGCTATTAGCGCTGATAGGGGGAATCATCGATCCGTCGATGATACTCCGGCCAGACAAAGGGGAAATAGGTACAGACGGTAATGATAAAATAACATGATAGTGTACACAAAAATATGATCATCTACTGGTCTCAGTTGATGCGTACTTAATGCGATGGTGAAGTCGATCGAGATTGTTCGGCTAGTGGGCCATTGCGGCGTGGAATGGGGTTCGGAGCTTTGCGGCTGGTGCGAAAAGGTTGGTAGTTTAGATGGCGGTGATTGTAGAGTGCGGGGTGGCTCGTGGTTGAGCGGCGTAGGTCTTCAATGGCGGCGGGGTCGTTTCGCGGCTGGTCCTTTGTGTTGCTGCTGTCTTCTGTTTTGCGAACAAAGTGGTCAAGACCACAACTACTGCACCTTACTGCGCAGCGTCATGGACTGCCTTCAGACATTGAAGGCAACGTCCTAGTTTGGTTGCTTTGATGCTTTCTATATCAGATCGAGATAGCGCAAGTACTTTCCGGTGAAGTCGCTATCCTGTTCTCCGCAAACGAGCAAAAATGCAGCTTGATTTAGGCGTGGTCCTCTCCAGGAAGGTGCTTGTTGTCGGGAATCGTCTGCATCTTCAGATCAAGGGCCTGAAGGTGTTACTGTATAGCCAGTCTATCTTGGGCGGATTGCACCTTGGGGATTAGGTGGTGGAAGAGCATGTAAACGTCGCATCTATTCAACTCATCGATATTTGCATCTCTGGCGAGAAGGACATGTTGGTAATGTGATGTATTCCATCTACTTTGATACAGATTTTTACAGCCTATCTAGGACCCGCCCACGCCAAATAGTCTAGGTTGAGCTACTCTATATCTTTGAAGTAGATTTATTGTCTCTTGATATAGCAGGTTGCTACCTGGAGGTTATTGATGTGCGAAGTAGTCGGTGGGGCCGACGCTAAGTACTCGATTGATAGTGTGCATGACTAGCTGTTGTATGCATTACCCAGATATGCATACGAAATCAGTTTGTATTATCAGCTGGTCCCTCACTTCTCAAATGGGAGCACCAGAACACTACTGGAGCTGTGAAAATTTTTATGATGTTCATGATGATATAGATCTAAATTTTGGCAGTGTACACTAAAGCTATTGGACTTGCTAGATAGGAACCGTGACAAACGCTATCGACGTGAGCGCAGCTAGACTGATTTTTTGTTTTTTTATAATCTCTATGATCGGCGCGACGTCTGGCGTACTGATATCGGCAATCCATTGACGGTGCAAGGATAACACGTGGGAATCTTCATCGAACGACACTGGACATCTGTTATGTGATAATGAAGAGTGCTCTGAAAAGCAACAAATCCTGCTCATGGTGGCACTGTACACTACATTTTTTACTGGTCACTGCTCGTTCAACTGCTAGGTTTACAGAAGTGGAATCGTTGTCTGAAAAACATTGGATATTGAAAATCTGGGTATCGCATGAACGTCACTGTTCTTTCGAGCGACGGTTGCTAATATGCAACGACAGTAGCGCCGTGCAAGCGGCTACATCCAGTGAGCTTGTTGAGAAGAACTTCGCATTCCACTACGAATATTTCTTCTGCTACAGCTAATATTGAAACTCGATTGACACCGTAAATTTGCTTTCATCCGAAAGGGTTATTGTGTCATTACCTGATCGTGTTATATTTAATGGAAATTGTGGTTTCCAGTGGTAGTTTTCAGATGAACGATTTCTAAGGGCGTTGGTCGAGTCATCTCCGGACACAGACATCGGTGAACTCACAAGGAAATGGTCAGAAGTCGAAGTGGCCAATCCATACAAGCTGCATACCATTGAATGCAGTATAAAATGCTGACTCTAAATCTGTCTTCCTTATCTGCAGAGCGCTTTTGTGGACGAAATTAAAAGCCGTTGAAGGCCATCATTTTGCTAAGAAATTGTGCACGTAAAATGCAAACTTGGCCGTACAAAGCCATTCTCGGCTCAGTGTTGGACCAAAACATGCAACTAGGTCAGTTTATATGACCCGTACCTAGATGTGAGCTGAAACAGCAATAATGTGCCTAATTTCGCAATTTTTGTATACGGTTTTTTCGCAGTAAAGCTGCTCATAACTTCGCCTACAAAGGCGCTCTGCAGATAATGAAGGCAGATTTGAAATCAGCGTTCTATTCTGCATCGAATGGTATATAACTTGTTTGGACTGGCCACTTCGACTTCTGACCATTCCCTTGTCAGTTGTCGCAATGGCAGCGCATACTTGTGTGATGAGAAGTTATGTGTAGCTTGCAACTCACTACTACATCCTACTACTACATTCTACTGGAATTTGAAATCTGTCTGATAAGACAAATGACCAGGGTTGAGCAAGAGGTCAGGCACAAGTTTTTCCAAAACGACCCCCCCCCCCCCCCCCCAGTGAAAGCCCCTAAACGACCCCTCTCCTTCACCTCCAGGACCTCAGGCTGTGATAATTCGAAGAGATCAGCCGTTTTTGGGAGGTTCTTGTTTTTTGGAGGCCTGTAGGTCGACTTTCTGCGATTGCACAGCACATGCAACTTGACGGCAAGTTTTGGATTTTGGATAGCCCTACTTTCAGGGCTATAATTCCCACAGGGATGTATTGTTTGGCTCCAAATTTGCAGTATTGCAAGAAGAGGCTTTGAGTTCAATACTCATAGCAAAAATGGAGCGATTTTTAGATTTTGAAAACAAGTTAATCGGGTCAGGCGCAACCCCTCAAAAGCTCAGGCGGCCTGACCTTTTGTGGGGTTGCGCCTGACCCGATTAACTTTATTACTGAAGAAGCTTTTTCATTCAAGTTTTATGTGAATCGCTAGTACAACCCTCGAAGATTCCACAGTAAGTGTTTGGACTTGATTCGACTTGTTTCGGCCTTGTGGTAATCCGTGGAGTTGAAGCAGTCATGGCGAAAAACGCGCCGGTCGAAATTTTGGCATTATTTCTTACTCCACTATTTGCAAGCGATACAAAGCGCGATTTTTAGCCTAGACTAGTAGGGAACAATACTTTGTTACGAGTACAAAAAAATTGACTTTTCTCACTTTTGAAAACAAGTTAATCATGTTTGAAAATCACGCTTTTTAGTCGTTGAGAAACACTAGATAATGCAGTAAATAATGGTTTGTAGGGCTCATAGAGGTAATTTGACGTGCTCGAAAATGATACCCATTTCAAACAGCATGCTTCCTTGATGAATTTATAATATGTCAAGGTAGAAGATGAAGATTTGAGTTTTGGCCGAAACTTCGATTGTGGAATCAATCAGTATGCTGTTTAAGACCGTTCATTCCTTCAGTACTGGTGAGGTCGCGATATCCACTAAACTAGCGCTTTTCTTCTTCACCTTAATCGTAGTATCTCCTCAATCGAACGAATTCGATTCCTAATCACGACCCCCCCCCCTCTATCTTACCCCAGTACGACCCCCCAGGTCGGGCGCGCCTGACCCCACGCTCAACCCTGCAAATGACTCTCTTCCAGAGATGGCGAAACGCTTGTTTAGCAGTGGTAGCGATAACATCTGAAATGACCGTTACATTGAAATTATTGATTTTTTCCGTAACATATGGCTGGATCAAGCAAGTGCTCGTAGATGTTTTGCCTGCCTTTGTGTATCCATGCGTATGTGCACATTAGGCTTCCACTCTAAACAGAATATTATTCATATTTCTAATCGGAAATTGGTCTATGAGCTACTGGATAAAACTGGCATGCTGGTAGAGGGAGCAAGCATTTTCAGGGTACTCCTTCACAAATGTCAACGCAGCGGGAATATCCAGGATATTTGCTGGACTTCCGCAGTTCTTCGACAGTTTGCGTGCGTAATATGACACTTGCCATGAATGCATAATCCTGCTTGCGCACCTCTTTCTACAGAGAAAATGCGAATTTTGATATCTCTGGGGGGGCTGGGAGCGAGACACAATTTGATTAAGCTCGGGATAGCTCCAGGAGTTTCTTTCATTGGAGTAGGTGGATTGTGCGCGAGTGCACAAGTTTTTTCTGTGATGAGACATGGAT